GTGTGATGGCAAGAGGAGAAGGGGACGACCGAGGATGAGATGGCTGGACAGTGTCTGCGAAGCAACCAACATGAACCTGACACAACTCCGGGAGGCAGTAGAAGACAGGAGGGCCTGGCGTGCTCTGGTCCATGGGGTCACGAAGAGTCGGACACGACTAAACAACTGAACACACACACATGATTTGTCCATCAGCAAGGATCAATCTTAAACCAGATTTAAATTCCCAGCAATCAGACTATGGGGGGTTTTTTTTGTACCCCTCAGAACATATGTAGAGTGCCAAGGAAGATTTTTTCCAGCATGAGGAAATAAAGATGTTACAAAGATTAATAATGGTTAAAGAGTGATTTTTTTTGACAGTCATATATAGAGATTGAGGTATTTGTATACGAATACGAATACCCCTGCACAGATGGACATAATGAGGGTACAGTTCCATGGGGTCAGACGGTCCACTCACCAATCTGCCATGGGCACAGGCACCATGGAGCCTTCCAATGGCTCCAGAGATCACGTTTGGCGAGCCACTCTTCGACCTAGCAGAGAGGATTGTTGTCCCGCCTCCTACCAGGAGTGGTGAGCCGAACATGATCTCCAGAGCCATTGGAAGGCTCTGCGGCGCCCATGGTGGATCAGTGAGTGGACCGCCTGGCCCCATGGAGCTGGACCCTCATTATGTCCACCTGTGCTGGGATATTTGTATTCGAATACAAATGCCCCCATCTCTAGTCATATCTGGTCAAAAGCAGAAAAAGAAATTAGTTTTGTTGGAAACTGCTTGAACTTGTCATATCTACAAAGCAGCACAGGATAAATACTGTGTACTCCTGGATTCATCCCTAAGTCTGGATGCCCAGGTCTTGCCAGTGGCCAGGAGTGCAGCTAAACTGGTGCACCAGCTGCACCCATTCGTTGAGATGTCAGATTTGGCTACAGTGACACATGCCTTAGTTACATCCCGTTTGGATTATTATAACACGCTCTATGTGGGGCTGACTTTGAAGACGGTTCGGAAACTTTAGCTGGTGCAAAACTCTACAGCCAGACTACTGACTGGGGCCAGCTACAGGGAGCATACATTGCACCTGTTACAAGAACTGCACTTGCTACCAGTCCGTTTCCGGGCCCAATTCAAAGTGCTAGTCATTACCTATAAAGCCCTATACAGCTTGGGTCCAGGCTACCTGAAGGACCGTATTTTCCTATATGTGCCTTCTCAGCAATTAAGATCAGCAGAGGAGGCTCTCCTCTTAGTCCCATTGCCAGTATAAGCACAGTTGATGGGGACACGGGAGAGGGCCTTCTCTGTGGCGGCTCCCAGGCTATGGAATGCTCTCCCTTGGGAGATCAGGATGGCCCTTTCCCTATTATTCTTTTGGGGGAAAAAAAAGCTAAAAACCCATCTCTTAGGGCAGGCTTTTAACAATTATAACTGAATCCCTGAACACCATTTTAGCAGATAATTTTAATCTTTTCCATGTTTCCATGTTTTAATCTTTTAATTTTATTTTATATCATATATTGTTTCATTTGTCTTTTAAATATTCAACTTATTGTATTTTAATTGTGTGAATTTTAATGCTGTGAGTCGCCTTGGGTCCCTTTGTTGGGAGAAATGCGGCATACAAATAAAACTACAAAAATATATACAGCACAGGTTCCATTTCTTTTTGACTTACCGATTGTCCCAGTGGAACTGACTCAGACTGTAAATACTGGCCCATGGGCAATGATGGGTTATGGTACAAGCCTCTTCGGGGTGACACTGCTCTAACTGAGGCCATGTACCTTCTTTCTCTTCGTGGAGACAGGTCCCTTCTGCAAGACGTGTCTTTTCCTGGTGACATTGGTCTCCTCGGTGACAACTGGCGCCTTGGTGACACATCTCTCCGTGGTGATAACTCTCTCCTCAGTACAGCTTCCTTCCTTGGTGAAAGATGTCTGATGGGGGAAATCTCTCTTCTTGGTGATAAGTGCCTTCTAGGTGACAGATCTCCTTTGGGCATCAAATACCTCTTTGGTGAATTATCTCTATAGGGTGAAGAATCGTAACCAGGTGAGGACTGTCGGCTTGAAGATGAAAAATCTCTAGGAGATGAATTTGACTCGAAAGAAACCATGTAGTCTTCCTCCATGCAACTGGGTATGTCAAGCCTATCTTTGTCAGGTTCTGAATCTGTACTTTTGTTTTGAAAAAAACTCTGATATTCTGTCATCTGCGAATCATCACAAGAGTCACTGGGTGTTAGGAGCTGAGTTACCTGAATGCTAGGTAAAGTGACCAAATAACTGATCAAGGAGGAATGTCCTACTGAACTGTCAGGAGAACCTCCATAAGACGCAGAAGCAGCATTCACAGATAATGAGGAGAATCGAGGGGGCTGGGGACTCGTGCTTCTTGACCTTGTTTTGGGAGTAGAGTCTCCAAGAGTATCATCAAAATCATCATCTTCATCATCATCATCATCATTGTCTTCCCCATCTTCCCCATCAGATTCCTCAGCATCAGAGAACTGGTGTTCAGCCGATGTGCCAGACATGTTGCTCTTCTCAACTTCAGGGTGCGTGTCTTCCATATTTTCTAAAACAAATGAGGAAAGTCAACACAATATGGGCCAGAGCTGTATTTTCAGATCTCAATGGGACTTTTGAACAAAACCATATAAAACTGTGTTTAGCCCAATTACTTGATACCTTAAAAATTAGCCTGCATTGCAACCATGTAGCCTAAATAAAAGACATTCTACCACCACCCAATAAAATTAGGAGCTGGGATTCTTATGTGCCTGAAGAATGTACCAAACTGGCCATCCTAGAAGTTCATTCCCCCCCCGGGGGGGGGTTACACTTCTTTTTCTTGATCATGCACTAAATTCTTACCTCCAAGTACGTGCAGCTTGAACAGGCCTTACAGTATGTCCAGTACAAAATCTGTTCATACTATTTGAGGATGTGTTTGTGTGTCAGACCCTGTGTTCACTTGAACCAAATTCATGGTTCACAGGGAGCAGAAGACACTTCCCAGTAAAGAAAACCCTCAACTTAATAAGCCTCAAGTGAACATGTCAAGACTATTTTCAATGCTTGGTGTTGACGTGAGTAAACCTTTAAGAAATTCTTAACATAGCCTCCCTTGTCAGCAAGTGATAAAGTGCAATGAGTCATTTGCATACTGCAAAGGCCTCTGCAGTTCAAAAAATTCAGAGCAACATACCTGCTTCTTCTGTTTCAGCATCATCCACAGATGTCATTGATACCCCCAGCTCCAGGCATTTTTTCATGTGAGCCTTAGATTTCATATGTTTTGTAAGATTTCCTGCAGAAAGTTACAAAGATGACAGTAATTAGATGCCACCAGTGCAGAAATCTCCTATTCCCATCTAGGGTTTCTTTGTTATTGTTGTTTTACTTCCATCTGGATGAGACAGGAAACAAGGAAACTAGATGGACAGATAGCACAGGGTCATTCAATTGAAACGTTACTGTAGCAAGAGTAATTTCATATAATTGCATATGTATTCGTAGGACTGTCTTTCTTCACAGCTTCGCTCTGATGGCCATGACTGCTGAGCTTATTATCTTCATTTTGCTATGCCACTCACACGTCCCAACCTCATGACTGTGATTAATTACTGCTGGTATTTAATTATTATTATCATCATCATTATCCATGAATGACTACTTGAAGTGTGCACCGGAAAAGGATTGCCTCTTCAGTTGTCTGCATCAGGTCAAAATATCAAAGCCTGCCACTGCGCAGGAAAGGGGAAAGAAAAAATCCTAATCCATAGAGACTCCACTCAGTGTTGGAAGACAAGAAGCAAATGTTCATCTTGGCAGTACATTTGGTCTGCAAACTTATGGCCCCTCAGAAGATATCACAGCAGACCTAAGATATTGGAAGTAGGCCTCCATATGAACAGAGAAAATCTCCATCCCAAATACTCCTTGTCATTATGGAAGCCTCCCTTATCTTTATTCCTCTGCTGTCAATATTCCAGTGGAGGATGGGATCAAGAAAAATGTATTAGGGCTACATTCAGAGAGGCCTTGGATCCACAGCCATTCTGTTGCCCTGACATATGCCTCCAAGAACCTAGAAACAATGCCAGCCCTGGAGTTAGCATAGCGATTCCTCCCATCCTTGTTGTTGATTGAACTAATTTTCAAGCAGTTGAAAATAATGAAAAAGTCAAAAATTCTCTCTCCCATTCTGAGCTGGAAAGGCACAAGCAAACTGATTCTTCCTCTGGCCATCATAGGCCTGCTCTGCCTGTGATTCAAAATATCTGGACACTGCCCACCCCTGCTATATTGCACAAGCTACCAAGGGCTGTAATCTACTTCATCATATAAATTACTCTGTAAGGCTTAAGAAGATAATTTCGTAAAAACATCATAAATTTACAGATTTAAAGGTGTTACACGCCTTTGTTCCTTTTGCCACAACAGCATGGCTAGGCTTTGGCAAGTAGTTACTGAAACACAGTTAATAACCTCATGTGCTGAATAACTGAGTACATAATCAAATATATCTGTTCCTTGATCCTTGCCTCTGTTTACAAATGTTTGCTGTTTATTCACTTTGTTCATTGTTCAAAGTAACACTAGAACTATGTAATCTAGAACTGGAGGTAGCCTTTAAGCATTTTAGCTATCATTGTTATTTATTCATTTATTTTGCTACCTTAACATAGGGAGTAATTTCCTGGAGAAGACAACCTACTCTCTCCATGAAGATTCTCTACCTGATTTGGAATGCTTTCTTGACTGAATGGAGGACCTCATGAGAGGAGAGCAATAATGAAGGTTAGCCTGCTCTTTCCTCCTTGTGTATTTATTTCCTCAACTTTGCTAAAGACTGAAATTAATAAGGCTAAGGATAGTTCTTAAAGGCTTCAAAGACCACCATTTTCAATTGAGCAATCCAACAGCTCTCTTCTCTCTGGTCTTCTTTGAAAATACAAACAGAGCGAGAGAGAGAGAGAATGCATTCTGCACCATATGAGACTTCTAAACCATCTTTCAGACAAGTGACATAAAGTGCATTATGATATGTTATCAAAGGCTTTCACGGCCAGAATCCAAGGGTTGTTGTAGGTTTTCAGGTTGTTTGGCCATGTTCTGGAAGTTTTTCTTCCTAACGTTTCACCAGTCTCTGTGGCCGGCATCTTCAGAAGACAGGAGCTAGAACTCTGTCTGCATAATTGTGCATTATAATAGTTCAACTAAGAGCTCTCTGTTGCATTTAGAGTGGCAAAATATCCTTAAATTGAAGCTGTCACAATTCTGCTTGTTTCCTGGCCCTGCTAAATGCAGATTTTGGGGTCACCAGCATACTGAAACACTGAGTTGGAAATACTGGAGAACTGCTTCAGGAGGGATGTATAGATGTTAAAATGCCCTGGGCACAAAACAGAAATTCACATCTCCCTATGGATACATACAACAAAAGGTAGTACAGCAGGGACTCAGGAGCTACCTTTGACAAATAAATGGCATAGGAACTGTGAAAAATATTTTTTATGGACTTTCCATTTTTAACTGTCACCAAACAGATTTGATGGTACGCAAGCATTCCCAACCTCTGTCTTTCATATGTGTTAGACCAGTGGTTCTTAACCTTTTTGAAAGAAACGCCCCCTTGAGCCATTGAGGAAGTTATCATCGCCCCCCTCGCCATGGTGATAATATCTTTCTTTCTTTCTTTCTTTCTTTCTTTCTTTCTTTCTTTCTTTCTTTCTTTCTTTCTTTCTTTCTTTATTTATTTATTTATTTATTTATTTATTTATTTATTTATTTATGAAACTTAAATCGAATGACCCCTGAAAACAAAATTCAATTCCAAGAAAATGAAATGCCCCCAAAAAGTAACATTTAATGATTTAGTTGCAAGCGAATTTTAAGATGCAAAAAGAAATATAAAAAGGGCATAAAAACAAACCGCAATGCAGGAACTAAAAATTTCAAGACGAAAACTCTGAAACTAAATTAAGATTGGAGGAAAATATATATTCA